TTTGGCGGCTGCGGGTGCTGAAGAGAACCTTTTCAATGGCTTAGTTGGTATGTGAGGGATGAAGAGATTTGCTAAACTGGATTTTGTGATGAAGAAGACAGTATATAATATGGGCCTTGGACCATTAGGTAGGAGGAGATAAGTAGAAGATGCTCCAGAGAGGAGAAAGAATATAGCCAAGCAAGGAAGGGGAAACCAAGTCCCACAGCATGTCTGTTAGGATGGCATGGAGGACTGGAAATTTTGTAGGTTAAAGATGAATTTGAATGTCAGGCAGATGAACCTGGATTTATTTTTACATTTAATTTTGCAGGCAAGAAGAGGGGACCATTGGCAATTATTAACAGATGAGATTACTTGTCAAAGCCAAGAAGCCAAGATCTACAATGGAGGCTTAATTGGAGATCTTTGTTTCTTAGTTTTCAAAAAGATATCATCCCCCCAAAGCAACAAAAATAATTCTGTTTTTTACTATGGGCTTGTAAAAGTAGGCAGTTCCATGGCTTTTAAATATGATTCTTTTCTAATTTCTACATGCATCCTTGGCACAAATGCACAGATATTTTAGGAACAGATATATTAGGATTATCTCAAATAAGCAGCATATTTAAATTTTATTCAACACATATCCAATTTTTAATATTTTTTCAAAAGAACAAAACAGTGGTTTCTTGCTATGTTTTCTCCCAAGTGTCCAACTTGGTATAACAGGGTTGACTATAACATGAAAATGTTTCTTTTATTTCTCTGTCCTAACTCCCATATTAGAGAGAAGACACAAGTGCCAAGAAGGATTTGCCTGTCCCAAGTGTTAATGATATAGGCACAAAATTTTATAAACAGATGAAGAAGAGAAAGAAAAAAGAATAAAAGAAAGAACTAAACCACCACATGTTCAGCTATGAAAACAAACAACTACGAATAATTGAATATTCCTGGTTTTGACAACTATCCAGCAGCTGATGCAGCAGATGCCACAGCATGCCATCTACCTCCAACCCAGCTGAACCAGATGGATGCGGGAGGGTCTGTGGGAGTCGTTCCCTAGAGACACACTTCTACCAGCTTGGTGGGGTAAATGTGGCTTGGCTTTATTTATTTATTTTTACCTTTACAAAATCACGTTGAGTCTCAGCTATTTCCTGCCTCAGGCAGTTGGACAGGCAGCAGATGTCTCCCTGACATTGAGTGAGTCACTAAGAGAAAACAATAGTCTACGATGATAGGAACTTTGCCTCCTAAAACAAAGTATGTATGTGTATACACTAGAACTTAACCATGAGGAAGATTGCAATTTACTCATAAATGGAATAAGAAAGGGAAGCAATTGCTACTTTCCTTAAGGAAAAACTCAAATGACCATGAACTTTTCTGTTAAGGATCTCAAACTTCCATTTAATGGAAGTTAGCAAGCAACTGGATCATTTCAGTATGGGTAAAAGGACAGATCAGGTACCATGTCTGCCATCAACTACATGCCCTTTGGTCAAGTCCTCAAACCTTTTGGAACACGATGAGGAAGGTGTAGAAAAATTTCAATGGATTAAATCAATATTTCTCAACTAGTGCTTCAGAAGGTATTCTAGGACCTTGTTACTCAAAGTAACACCCAGGGAACTCATTAGAAATATGAAATTATAGATCTTAGACTAGATTCATTGAATTATTTTAACTGATCACAGTATTATATTGGAACCGTAACTGATTTGCAAGCATGTTGAAGATTGAGAAATATTCATTATGGGCAAAGTATTCCAAAGATGCTTGATCACCTGGTTAACTTAATACAAACTTAGCTTCCATTCTTCCAGAGTCTGATCCAGAAGATCTGGGGTAAAAGCCAGGATTCTGCATATTTAACTATGCTCTGCCCCTGGAGGGTCCATTCAGTCATACAAATAAGATAATTCTGTTTATATTGCTTCCCTTTCAAATAAAATGATCTCTAAGTGACACCAGCCAGCAAGCTCAAGACACTCTAGTCAATACATTCTTCAACTGAACGTCCCAGATGCCTTCGCAGTTTTGCTCGATGCAATTTAAAAATTGTTAAATTCTTAATGGATCATTGGTTAAATGTAGAAAGCATAAGGAGCTCTGACGTTGAACTGGAACAATTTAATGAGTAATATAAAAATGATAGTAATTTTGTCAAGTCCCTCAAGATGATTGTCATCAGATTCATAAACTACATCCACCTATCATCTCCCACACTTAAAAAAACCAGTATTAAAAAGAAGAATCATAGTGACAATTATATCCAATTTGGCTTTTCATTTATTGGGAGTAAAAACTATCCTCATGTGCAATGTATTATCTGCTGGAAAATGCTTATAAACAACAGCCAGAAATGCTAATAAAACATGAAAATTATTTTTGTAAAGTGAATTTTTTCCCTGCAAGCAAATAAAAAATTTCCAAGTAAGGTCTTGAAGGCAGCCTTCCCCCATCCTTTTGATTCTATTATACTAGTTAAATTTCAATTTACATTTTAATGTACATTGGTCCCCAAGTCAAATGCAATGTTTAATGACAAATCATGCCTTAGCTTGCATAAATAATTTTAAATAAATTGAAGAACCTCTCACTTGCTGGATGTGGGAAGAAATTAAAAATATGTTGCAAACACTAATAGAAAATATATTAAGTGAATTGCAAAATAACAGGCTTTAATGGTATTGATACTGTTTTTACTTAAAAAAATCACACCTTTATTATACACAAATGTGTATATCATTTATAAGGACAAAATGATTATTTTTAATCTCTGCAGAGCTTTACAAGATCATTACTATGAAAGTATCTCATGACTATAAAAAAGTAGAAAGTGATAGAACAAAAAATTATCCATTATTAATATTCTCTGATTCTATAATATTTGGAAGAGTAGTATAGCTAAGTTGATCTAGAATGGAATTTTATAAAAACTCCATAACATAATTTTCAGAAAAATTATTAAAACACTAAAATACTCATCCAATTCCATTAGCTTCAGCAAGGATTAACATAGATGTTATTGTTATGGAGGATCAAATATGTCATAAAATAGCAGCTGATGGTAGGTAAGTGCTAACTGTGCAAGGCACAGTTTTAAACAATTAATAATTATCAATACCTGTAATTCTTGCAATAACTCTATGAAGTAGGTTCCCATTCACTGATGAAGACAGTAAGACAAAGAAAAATGAAATAAATCATCTACCAGCACAAAACCAAGCTGGAGTAGGGTAGAAACTAAAAACCACTTGGGACACCCAAGTCTGGCCTCCTCACCACCATGCCAACACATGTGAAACTGGATACTGCAGGAGCAAAGGCACATGTCAGAGAGGCAAGTGGAGCATGCAGAATGACCGAGCGTTTGGAAGGATACAGTGTAGTGTGTATGATCAAAGTGATGAGAAATTAATAAAGGTGGGGTTGAGCCAGGCTTTGGTAAACTTTGCAAGCAAATGTGGGAAAGCTTTCTAGCAGGCAAGCAGCAATCAGGAATTAATTGAACAATAATGGAGGTGGATGACACCAGAGGCAGAGAGACCAGGGATATATTATTTATAATAGTTCAAAGAATAGGCCAGATGGGCCTCAGAGAAGTAGAGGACGAAGAGGAAGGGGAAAACTAAGACTGAGGAGTAAGGAACTGGTGAACCTGTGTTGAAATTCCTCAAGCTGTTTTGCCTTTCTGGATCAAGACCAGCAGATACCAGCTTTGGCTTGACCAGGGCCAAAAACCCTGGCTGGCCTGACTAAGGCTATGCAGGAGCATAAGGCTACATTTATTATAGGAAGAATATGCAAATATATTCCCTTTCTCAGCTGACCTGCTACTTTAAAGTCATAAAATATTGGTTGGCTAAAATTAATTAACTAAATAACTACAGGAGAAATATCTCCCATGGCTTTCACATTGAGAGCACAGCTTATGAGGTGACCTGTTCTCCCTGGCCTATGAGGGCCCACACAGCATTCAGGAGAGGCCTCCCAAATCACCAGTAACATGAAGGTGAAATGCATATTTTAAGAGGAAGATTTCATTTCCCAGGAAACATAAATGTCTCTGCAAATAGCAATTCACTCCTATTCTTAATCCTTAAACCATCAACATCTGCTATGAAGAATTCCTTGAGTCTGCAAATAAATCCCTCTGGTCCCATATTCTTTATGGTACTCTCAAAAGGCAGTATTTGAATAAAACAACAATAACCATCTCTGCCCTCCACCTCCCAATTTCCTTCTGGAGGGGCCTTTACACTACTGAGCACACAGGGAGGTTTATGGGGAATTTATGGAGGTGGAAAAAATGGGAATGGGTGGGATGAAGACATTTTCAAGGAGGAGAAGTTTGTGCATTTTTAAATCTTTTTTAGATTATTAAAAACACTGATCCTGAAATATGATAAAGAAATGTTGGACTCTCTGGAAAAGTAATTTTCTTCTTTTCTTATTCATTATTTTTTAAGTGTACATTTTAGATTTTTTTTTTAGCTCTATGCAGGTCAAACAAATGCAGTTTTAAAACCCATTTCCATATTTTCAGATTCAGAAAGAAGATTTAATAGTAGGCTATAAAAATCCTTTAATGTCCTTAATGTTTTATTTTTGCAGATTTGCTGGAAAGTACAGTAAACAGTCATTGCTCACCTCTTCCCATCAGTGCCCCCCGAACTTTGTCATTGATGGAGAGCCGCAGAATCCATTTGTGTGGGTTTCTTGTTCCTAGGAACATCTTTTCCTGGCATTGTTGAGACACCTGCATTCTGACAATCTAGGCAGAATCTCTTAGCCAAACTGATTTGCTGATTGTCCTCTAGAGGAAATTATCAAACACTTAAAGCAATTTTAAAAGAGTAAATGTAGTGAGTTAGGGCAGTTCTGATGGATTCTTGCTGTCCTCTGATCAACATTCTGCAGCCACACATGACATCTCCACAGTCCCTCTTCGGCTCTACTTAACTCTTGTTCATGTTGCTACAGGACAAGGTCACCCAGAATGTACTTACAGGCTATGCGCACAGAGGCCTTCCTGCTCTTAGAGGTTCCCAGGTGGCTCCATGCCACACATTGGCACCAATAGTCCTCTGGCCCATGGAAGTCCTCTACCTGCTGCCTGGTGACATTGATAAACACCTCCCGGACCTTCAAGCCTGAAAGGGGAGACAGAGAAAATCAGCTGAGATCACTGTGCTTTTCAAAGAGAACGTTAAGGTTAGCCAAACCTTTTCTTTTTAATTAAACAATTCTGTTTTTAATCAAGGCAAAGTTTTAATTACCTTGACAATAATATATTACTGCTAATTAAATCCCACCAGCTGAGGAGGCTGGAAAGCGCACATGGAAAGTATTGCCAACCAATGCAGCTCCCATGCAATATAATCGTTTTCACAGTACTTGACTTGGTGCTTCATCTTTGTTTTTCTTTGTATGAAATCTATTGTGAAGAGCGTAGTGCTCAAGTTAATTGCTGGAATTCTAGAAGGTAAAGAGGCCTTAACATTTGAGCCTCAGAAACACAGTTTCAGGTGGTTCTAAATACCCCTCTAAGTTGTGGCACTCATGGAGAGTCACTGTAACAGTGTGGCTTAGAAGAACAAGAAAATGAGTGTGTGGGAACAGGCTAAGAATCCAAGGAATGACCAAAACACCAGTATCAATGGCTCAGAACATCAAGACCAATGGGATCCAAAAGAAAGGGATTGTGGAGCAGACAAGTTGAATTAAGTCTTATGTCTCTGAGAGGAGAATCCAGCAAAATCCTCCTAGCAATGGTAGGATGTGGTGGAAAAAAAAAAAAGAGAGACAGGTACAAAGGACACATATGTGAACAGAGATAAAGCTAGTAAGACTTTTAGCTTCTAATGTGATTTGTACCACTTTGAACTCTCCTTCTAAGAATTAGAAAATTTGCTTGGAGCATCTATCTTCCTACTTCTGACCAAAGACCATCAGTCTTTCTTTGGGAAAGACAGTCACCCTTCATCAAGTGCCAAGGATGAAAAGGGACATTCCTCACTAGCCAGATCAGCTAACTCACCACAGACAGGGTAGCAGCCTTCACAGTCACCATGTCCTCTCTGTCCAGCAAACACTCACTGTCACCAGTCTTGCTATAGGATGGGCAGTGTGGAAACAAAAGACCCTTGGTTCATTACATTCTACCCAAGTGCTCAGCATTGAGGTCAGTCTTTAACCTCTTCACTCACTACATTCCCACCATACACAGAGGCAGCACATGCTAGTGTATCCTCAGAGTACAGATGAGAAGACAGAGTTTGAAAATGGAGTTTGACCCTGTTTCTGCCTTACACCAAAACCAGCACTATGCTCAGGTGCCTCTCCACAATTCTGTGCTGTTCCTGGATTTCACTTATTTCTAATTGTGGAAAGAAGATTAACACATGGGGCAGTTAAAGAAAAATTAAGCACCTGTGATTTTTTTCCTTTAAGATCAAAAGGAATTCAGGGGACGGAACATCATTATGATCAAAATGAGCTGGTGACTGGGTGGAGGTGGTGGAACATGATTTTGTCTTGGGTGGGGGCAATAATTAAAGACTAAGAATGTGAGGTGAATGATTAGTCAGGTTGGGTAAACACCCCTTCCACCAAATAAAATGTTATTTAAGGAGTGTGATGAGAGGCAGCTCGGCAAAAAACAAACACACACACACACACACCCAAAATCAAGTAAAAAAGGAGAGTTAGCAGGCAAAGCAGAAAGGAGAGTATCACAAAAAGGGGAAATAAAGCATGACTTTTAAAACTTTGTTTGGATAGAAAGCAGACTGGAGTGGAGCACTCCTACTGGAAAATGAAGTGGAAGAGGTGGCAATGAGGAGCAAGGCTGTACGTTTTCCTCTTTGATTTGAGGTAAATAGCATATGGTCATCTCTCTACTTTGAAGAGTAAAATGGGGGAGACAGGCAGCAAACCAGTGCATCCAGGTAGGAGTTGAAGCAGCATGAGCAGCCATGGCCCAGCTGCAGGATAGGGAGACATATTTAGGCAGGGCACACCCACCCTTTTGGAAGAAGAGCCTTACCAAAGAAGCATGTGATAAGATTTGAAAGGTTCAAAATGGGGACAAGCTAATGGAAACACCTCCATTTTCTCACTCTCTCCATCTTGCAAGGCTATCTGAGCTACCAATTTCCTCTAAGTCAGAAATGAAGATAAAGACCATCTCAAAATGTCCCAGAGGGTTTTCAGGTCCAAACTAGAACTCAAGGAGCAAGCACATCCAAACCTCCAAACCTGCTGATTAAGTCATGACACCATGGTGTTTTAGGGGCACCCAGGATTTATTTTAATCAAGTGTAGTTAGACATTCAGATGTGAAAATGACTGTCACAGAAGACATTTACATTCCCAAATACCTAGAAACAGATAGCGTGGCACCAGGACCATGTGGAAATCTAAGGGTTGTCAGGAGGCAGAGGAGCAAGAGGAATGAGGCAAGAGCCTTTCCATGGTGGTTCTCATGACAGGTAACAGGAAAGGCAGGTAGATAAGCTTAGGATTGGCTAGTTTGAATAATGACAGTGGACTCTGGGCATAATACTCAGCCATAGTTATCTGCTACATGGTGCTAGGGTTAGGGCAGCAGATCAGTGACCTGGAGTATAGAAGCTGCATAAAGGAGGTATTTATGCTATGGGTTGGGTGGTTTGCTCACAAAAGGCAAGAGCATAGGCAAGTTCTTTGCCAACTCTGGTAATTAACGGACTTGATTAGGGCAGTCCCCATAGAGTCAACAAGGCCCCAACTAGAAAACTTGATAATTATTAGAAAAGTGTGAACAAGCCAGAACCAATCTCATACCATTTTTGTCATTCTTTGCCACACCTCTTTCTGACTAGTCATGATTGGGAAGAAAATTCTGAAGTCACAATTTTGTCCATTGCAGAAGATCCCTCTTGGGTTGGCAAAGCAAAGTGAACATAAATCTAGCTGCTCCTGATGCATTTTCCCTACTGGTAGCATCAAGGTGGCAGGTCACAAATGACATTACCATCCCATAAAAGTACATGTCTCTCTTGATTAGGCCTTCTACTAACACAAGGTCTTTGGCTTTGTCAAATGGTCCCTTTTGGAAAAATATTTGGAGTTTTGAATGCCTTATATCTAATATTCTTTTCCCCCCACAAAAACAAAAATAGCTCTAATTGAATAAGGCGGTATTAAAAAACAGTACATTCTTTCTCAAATCTTCACTTCTTTTGTGATATATATGCGCATGTGCAAATATGAATATTCGGTGTATGTAGTACATATATGAATGTATGTGCATGTGTATACATATATCCACACATGAGAAACATCCAAGAAAAGCAGCTGTATTTAAGGAAATTGCTCCCACCACCTCCTCCTCCACCGAAGTTCACCTGGCACTGCTGCACGTAGAGATAGCTATCTACTTCTCTATCTCCAGAGATGGCAGCAAACTTGGTCATAGCAACTGCTACAGTGGTGCAGAAATTCCAGGCAAATAAAAGGTAGCATCTCATAAGTAAGAGTAGCATCGTACCTGATAACTTTCATAACTCTAATAAGCATGGAAAAGTCCAACCCTTTAAATTATTGTGCAAATTATACCCATCAGCCTTTGTTATGGAGTAGAGTCTTACATAATATAAAAATATGAGTATGGTACTGATATGCTAATAAGCTTTCTAAGCTGTTTGATGGTTTAGTTGTAGATAGACTAATGCTGGCAGCAGATGAATAATTGCTCTGCATGTACTAAACATAACAGAGCAGCATAGAACTTCATCATTTGTCAGCTTTATTTGTTTAAATGAGAAAAATGCTGACAGCAGTTATTGCTGTAATCCCCTTATTTGTCAGATAGAAAACACTAGTTACTCTTAGCAGGTCTAATCCTGTTGGGAGACTAAAAGTTAGAGAATTTTCAAACTAATTGAAGGTATATGCTTCACTGCTCAAGGAAGAGAAATGTACAAGTAAGAAGGAACAGAAAAAAGAATTAAAATAAATTTATTTCTAGTCAATTTTAAATAAAAAGGGCCACACAGTCTTAGTGTATGATTCTCAACTTGTTCTGTGGAATATAAAGAATTCTGCAATAGTATTTAACATTCAGTACCATTCCAACGTCAGTCCGGTGCCTACAACAGCTGTCCCCATGCCTTTTATCTTTTGCTCATTATCACACTTCCACAACGCCCAGCAGCAGCTCCTGCCGTAAGCATTGCTGCCAGCCAGTTCTCAAATACACCTGGCGATAGTTGTGTGCTTGGGGTGGGATTTGACACAGTTCTCAGATGTTTACCTCCCCTCACAGCTTTGTGTTTTCATCACCTAGAAGTTCTCTGTAGCAGGATGCTCAGCTTACTAAACTGAATAGCTACATTTCTACTGTAAGATGTTTTCCATATCTCAAACCACACAGAAGCAGCAGGAGACTAGCAAACTGGGTTTGGGTGGAATTGTCTCCTCATCTTAATCTCTGTGTCTGCTTTCTTGGGCCTCATTTTCCACAGTGTAATGCTTCGTAATTGTTTGGGGACTAACTGACGGAAAGAGTACTTAGGTTTTTGTACACAAAGCTCCAAAGAACCATTGCAATACAACTTCATGAGCAACACAGGGCCTTGCTCAGTTCTTTGAGGGGAAAAAAAAAAAATCAAGCTTCTGGTGAAAAACATTGGTCTCTGGTGTTCAAGAGCTTTCTTCTCTGCTGGAATATCCTCTTCTAAATGTCTCAACCTCTCTGATGCTGTATTTCACTCTACAGTGGCCCTTCTTTACTCCTCTGTTTGCTCAGCAGAAAGAAGAGTCTATTCAGTTGGAATAAGTGAGTTGGCACTTACATAAAACAATGGTTTCCATTTATCTCATCCTAGTTCAAGCTTACAATCTTGAAAACATGCTTGAACAATGGGAAACTTGAATAATCACATATTGTTAATATGATTATTAATATCATAACATTTGTATGGCCCTTTTCTTTTATTAACACCTTTGCATCCATTATCTTATTTCAACTCAACACCATGTTACTATCATTTTTGTTTTTATTATTACAATTTTGCTACGAATCCCATAACGTAAGAAATAGAACAAAGATGTCATAAGGTTTGTGACACGTTCATTTGAAAAAGACATGTATTGAGTGACTCGTACT